AGGAGCTTGAGAGGCGCAATGGCTCTTCAAGCCCTTTGTGCTTCCCATCGCCTCGCGCTTTGCTTCACTTGTCTGTGAGGGCGGAGGGAGGGGGGAAAGGGCCGAACAAGGCTTCATGTGCTAGAACGCATCCACCTCAATTTGTCGCAAGTGTCCACCTCACCAACGCTGCCGTTCTCTCGAGGAATGTATGCGCACTTTTCAGATGCATGGTGCTTGAATGTTCACCGCCTCTCTTTGCTGTCAGTCGCATGCTTCCCATCAAGCGAACGCCATTTCACGCGCTCTTCTCGCAGTCAAACTCCATCAGGTCCTCCGCTCTGTACTATGCATCGACATTACGAGCTCTTCCACCTCATGTAGACCTTCGCCACCCAAGCTAGTTGGCTACCGACTCCATGCGAGTAGACGCTTGATCCGAGTGGCGACATCAGATGGCAGCTTCGTCCCTCTTCGCTAGCACTTGCTTGGACAGGAGCTTTTGACGACGAATGAAACTGCGAGCGCGTGAGGGCGAGAATGTAAGAACTGGATCGCTGCTAGTAAGAAGGCCGTACGGACGCTGTGCAGCACTCACTCGTCGTATTGGCATGCCTCGTAGGTGTGCCTAGAGTGGGACAAGGGTTGTTGTACCACGTAAGCTTCGAGCTACTCGCGTGATTTGATCGCGCTGAACATCGGCCTCTTCTGTCCAGCCGCTGGAGCGAACCGCACGCCACTCGTGCAAAGGCTATCCAGAGCTACGCAAATCGCCATCTTGACACAGGCCAAGCTGCTCACTTTTCATGCTCGCACTTCCAGGGCAAGTAGCTCTCCTTTCTCCTGCACTTGTTCAGGGAGATGAGCAAGCTGAGTGTCGGGGGCGGGGCATCGCGATGATGGAGCCGAGCATAGGCAAAAGAAGCATACATGGTCAGATGATGGTGCTCGAACCGATCCCAAAGCACCACTTATTCTCGAAGCACATGCCTGAATGGCCGAACTCACCCGCCGCATTGATCGCGCCATTGGATAGGCAAGTGAGCCTTGGACGCTTCTTCGTGGGATGCCGCGTTCGACATGTTCGAGTATCTGATCCGAGTCTCGCAAGAAAGGCTGGAGAAACAGCGTGCTGGAACTCTCGATGATAAGCCTGGCTGAGACTGGAATGCGTCGTGGAACTTGAGAGGTGAATTGCGGGAACAGCGAGTCGTGAATGTGGGATGAGAGTGTTGAGTAGCCGCCTGGCTTGGTCTGTATAGCCAGATGGGCAGGGATCGCGCTCAGGTGCGCCCAACCTCGCGCACGCCAACTGCATGTCACGTGCAAAGCTGCCCAAGCATCACGTGCGCAAGTCGGTCTGAATTTTTGTGAGGTGCTTCCAAAGCCCGCTTGCTGCATGAATCACTCACACTTTGCGTGTGTGCAGCATTCACGATCCTCTCGAGCTGGGCTCACCTTGTCTGCGAAAGCCACACCCATCCAGCTAGTTGAGCGAAGCCTTGCTGTTCTCACGAAATCAAGCCTTCAAGGTGCAGCCTCAGACTTCTCTGTGGTCCTGCGCGGCAAGTCGACGGTGTGATTCAGTCCACGTTTGCCACCTCTTCCTTCCCTGCACTGACAGCTGAGCCTAGGATCAGCCGCGAGTGCCTTGCCACCAGCATTGTACACCACTGCACCAACGTGCAAATCGCGTAGGATCTCCGATTTCAAGCACTCTCTCGCTGCTATCTCTTGCTGTGTCTTGGAGCGTCAAGATGGGTAAAAGAAAGCAGATCAAGAAGCTGGGTGCCGTGAAGCGCATCATGAACCCAGCCGCGTGAGTGTCTGCTCCTCTCGAACAAGATTGCAGCCACCATTCTACATGCATCCATTCCCACATCGCCTACCCCAACTTTCAACTGACCTCATCTCCTTTCCGCTATACTATTGTCGACAGCAAGCAGCAGGCAGTGCAGTCCGCCGCAAAAGCCGATGCGAAAGGCAAAGGCAAAGGCAAGGTAGCTTCCGGGAGCGGAGGACCTGGGGAAGGACCTGCGCGAAGACTTCAACCCGCATCTTCAGCCCTCTTTTTCAATCACAACGAGAGCTTGGGACCTCCTTATCGCGTGCTGGTCGATACCAACTTTATCAATTTCAGCTTGCAGAACAAGTTGGAATTGGTGCAGGGAATGATGGATTGCTTGTATGCTGAAGGTGCGCAAAGTCTCCCTTGCCTTTCCCCTTCTCTTGCCTACGACGCTCACTATGGTGGCTGACTTGGAGCACCGCCTCGCGCTACAGCTATTCCTTGCATCACTTCGTGCGTCATTGCAGAGCTGGAGAAGCTGGGTACCAAGTACAGGATGGCATTGCGCGTGGCTAGGGACCCAAGGTTCGAGAGATTGCCATGCTCGCACAAGGGCACCTACGCGGATGATTGCATTGTGGACAGAGTCAGCACTCACAAGTGCTTCATGGTGGCGACTTGCGATCGAGAATTGAGGAGGAGAATCAGAAGGATACCGGTGAGTGTCACGCCAAGCAGTGCGTCATCGCATACATGTTGGACCGTTCTAGATCTTGTTGACCTCTCTCTCTCCACGTCATGAACAGGGTATTCCCTTGATGTACATCGCAAAGAGGCAGTATAGGGTGGAGCGATTGCCAGACCAAGGCATGCCATCATGAGTCGTCACGATTCGGTATCCAAATGCATCACTTCGTCACCTAAAGAGAGCACTGCGTGCCTGTCAAGGCGATCCACGACTTGAGAGCTGTGGGGACGCGTGCAAGCCCACACCAGTAAGACAGTCTCAATCATAAATCGTGATTCGAAGCACTCACTACGCCTGGCTCTTGGCCTCTCCTACGCCATGTCGACTCGTGCGAATCAGCACCCGAGCAAGTTCCAAGACTTGCCATGCACGTGCAAAAAAGCAAGCTTGAGTATGCGCGCCGCGACATCGAAAGTCGTCAACGGTCCACCTGCATCGCGCTTCAAGGGAGCAGCCGACCCTTCTTTACTGACAGCTCACGAGGCAGCGCGTTGCGATCATGGCTGGGTAGAGGGCAATCGTTACCGAGCTTACGTTCCAAGCCGTGTATCTGCACAGTCGATGATCAGCGCTTGTATCTAGCGGTCGACAGGTACGCATTCCAAAGAGGCGCGCATCTCACCTTGCATGCAGACTCGAATTTGCTGATCATCGCAACATGCACCAATTCGTGTGCTCGTCTATCTAACCTGACTCAAACTCACCAAGTTTCACATCCCACTCACCATTCTCTTCTTCTCGCCGCCCCCCTCTCCTCTTTCCCACATAGGTTTCGTTCGACTCGTGCACCTTCATTCATCTACAGCTATCCCATCAATCGCTTCGACGCTAGCCGCACACGTCATCGCGAAGCCCAGCTCCCCACTAGTCCACGACCCCATGACAAAGGCGCGACCGGTGATGGTCAGTCCACGAGAGACGTCCTCACCGGGCCCACTCGATCAGCCTTCCTATGGCCAATTGCTCGATCGAGCGAGGAGGGAATTGCAGGAGCGTGTAACCTCTGGAAAGGTGGAGATTGATGCTCATGGCAACTACGTGATTCGTCTACCAAGCTCCAACGCAGGTGAGTTCCGCCTGTTCCTGGGCAAGCAAAGGGGCTGGGTAGCCAGAATCCCCCGTTGATCCGCTCTTGATCCTTGGCAGGTGCTCGTACGTCCACTCGCCAGATTCCTCGATCTATCTCCGCAGGTCAAGCACCATCCTCTAGGCACCAACCCCCTGATGCATCACGCGCACCTAGCCCCTCCTTCGCCTCCGATCCCCAAGCTCATCCTGCCGTTCCGCAACTCCAGGGCTTGGGCATTGCATGCATAGCCGCGTCGCATCACGTTCCCAGTCTAGCTGGGCAATATGGATCAGCAGCTTCTCTAGCGTCAGGCTCTCACATCGTGGCCAAGCGCGCGGTCAGCGATCCGCAGAGTCGCAGGCGCAAAGCTCAAAGCTTGAGTGAGCTTGGACTTCCTACGCAAGAGCGTCTCACTCCACAGCAGCGTGCCGCATGGTCGTCCTTTTCAGCCGTGCCAGACAGCCTTCGCCCATCGAGCCTCATGGATGGCGAATTTATCTGGACTACAGATGCACTCAGCACACAGCCGGTCGCGGCTCATGCTTCTCACATCGAATCGAGCGGGCACCTATCCATCAACGGCACGCAAGATGAGAGCTCATCCTACGTCATGCGCCTCGAACAATCTTCATCGACGCCCCCTGCTGGAGCCAGACGCACGTTGGGAACGTTTCGCCCCTTGCAGATCGTCTTTGATCTCAATGACAAGTCCCAAAGAGTCGACCGGGTTCGTTTCCCACCTCACACTTCAGTCTCATCTACGCTTTCGCGCGCAGACTCCACGGACACCTCGCTCACGAGCATGATGGATGGCATCACTCGAGCTTTCGACCTCTCGCTCACGCTGCCCGAAAGTGATACCACCCGGGACGACTTTGGCGCGGTGCCTTTCAGACTCATCCCCAAGCACAAGCCTCGCCCGAGCGTACTTCCTATGCGTACTATGGGCCGCGGAAGATCCAGCATTCCGGTGGCCTCTCATTCAAGCACATCCATCAACCACATTGTCCTAGCAGCGCCTCCCAAGGACAACCGCGCCCCTCAGCGCCGCAACACGCACGACCTCGTGAGAAGCCCAGCACCGCCTTGCGATCGCTGTGGTCACATGCCTCGAGAGTGCTCCATCAATGGGTGCAGCATCGCTACCTTCAGCGGACAGATTGGCTCGACATGTGACAAGAAGGGGTCCATCGGCAAGCCATGCGAAACGCCTTCAAAAGCTTCTCGGCCTCAAGTCTCCATCCTTCGTCACGTCGGACCGGCACGTCCCGTTGCTATGCGTCGCATACCCGTCATGCGTTCCTTCAGCGCTCCGATCCACTTTCGCAACGATACACCACACGCCACGTCCGTCGATGGGCCATGCAACCCCGCAAAGTGCAGCCAAGGAACGCTGGGCGGTCAGGATTGTGGAAGCGTAGAGTGCGACCATTGCACCGAGTCTTGGCTCTCAGGAATCAAGTCGCCCACCCTTCCACCGGAAGAAGTCGCTGCCTCCTTTAGCATCTCGTCTCGACTCGTCGACTCTCCAGCTTCGCTTGTGCAAACGTCTAGCACCGGTCAACAGCGAGTGCAAGCTCTTTGTGACACTCCGACAAAGTGCAACATCCCACTCGCCAGCGATGGCTCCATTCATCTCGAGTGCCAACCTGGACCAGTTGGCAAGACTCTACCTTGCAACTCTGACTCTTCCCGCGGCTTGCTCTGGACCCAGCTCCACGCTTCGCCTGTTCACACGCGCACTCAAAGTGTCAAGTTTCGCAAAGGTAGTACTTGCAACGAGGAGCAGCGCCAGATGCGCCCGATCCTTGCTGGTCGCAAGCGACGCGGCTCATGGGTGGATCGCGTAGTGAGCAGCACGACTGAAAAGCTGCCTGGATCCATCGGACGTCCAAGGAGCGTGAGCAGCATCAATTTGAGTCGCTCGCCTAGCATGGCTCAGCCCAGCTCTCTTCGATCGCCGAATGTAGATCTCAGCGCTAGCTTCGTGTCGAAGTTGGAAATTTCTAGGTCTCGCGCCACTTCGATGGACATGGAGCGTGGCCGCCTTGCAAGTCCTCTTACAGACCACGCTCGTTTCACCACGCCAGTGCACCCCGCACGTCTTGGTCATGCTGAGCACACTCCGCAGGCGAGGAACGTTGTGACCATGTCGTCGATACCATCAGTCAAAGAGGCAGCCAAGCGTGCCAAGCGTCATGGTCCTCGTCTGAGCATACACGGACTTTCTTTCGCCCTGCCCGCCCGTCGTGTATCCACATCCACGATGAGCCCGTGCACGCCTTCCAACGCCTCTGACACTGCCGAGAGCGCTCGACGTCTCAGCGCCTATTTCACCGAAAAGGACGACGAATGGCTGGACGTGCACCGCATCAATGCGCAAAATCAATTTGTCTCTTACACTGCTCTTCGTCAAGGCCCTCCTCACGTTGTTGCATCGCTCAACAACAACGTCGCTACACCACCTCGCGTTCAAAGCTCGGCTCTCAAACGTTTCGCCAATGCCGCCCGTCAAGTATTCGACGAGCTGCTTCTCAAGTGATCCTCGACGCTCGCATGACGTGCTCTTCTACTTCCCCCCTACATCGCGAAGCCTGCCCCCGTTGCCGCAGAATACTCGACCGTATCCGGGTCCAAATCACTCTCACTCTCATTTTGCCTCGCCAGTAACCTCGTTTTCACAGGCTCAAGGCTGCGCAGCCGCCCTTCAGACTCTCACATTGTCCTCGACACCCATCGCGCTCGAAGTGACCACCACTACACCTGCACCGGCCCCATGTGGCGCGCTGCAACACTTAATCTTGCTGCCTTTCAAATGCTCATCTTATTGACTCTATTCTGTACAGACGTGTGTGATGTGACTGGGTGTCGAGCGCAAGCAGCGCGCTCGAAATGCAGATATCTGCTTAGAAGCCGAGTCCACCCTTGCTGATTTTGATGGTGGCGCCAACAGCCGCAGCAGACCCCGGCGTAGCTCCAACACCAGAACCTTCTTTCCAGCCCATCATGGACAAGAGCTGGGGGGGAAGCGTGCAGGGCCGTCAATCAATCTATAGGCTGAACACATCGAAACTTTTTCACGAACGCATAAAAACAGACTCACTCGATGTCCAATATTGCTCTCTGCAATCTTTTCCGCTCCAAACCCCACCTGCGTACCTTCTTGATTCTTGGGTACGATAGCAGCTCTACCAGCATCCCTGACCGCACCTCTCCCAGCAGGCCCATTCGCTCTATTTTTGCTCTTTTGCTTCGCTCCAAAAGTCGCTCCAAATGCTCCCCCTCCTGCTCCTCTCAACACCTTGTTCACCCTGTTCTGATCTACCACTTGACCGGATTTAGAATTCTTGATGAGCGTGGCGAACCTGCTATTCCCATTGCCTTTGGATTTGGACGTCAAAGAGTAGGCGGAAGCTAGCATGTGCACTTGAGCCCTAGATCGCTTGTCCATGGGCGGAAGCGATAGCGTCGAGTGTTGCCAATCCTGCAAGAAGCGCAAAATCTGCGCGTTCAAATCGTGCAGGTTCGTAGAATGCTTCTCCATCGTCGAGAGGGGTGCATGTGCATCCCAGGCCGATGCGGGATCAAGATCAGGCAGCAATCCTTGATCCCTCAGCAGATCGTCTTTTCTTTCAGCCCGACGCAAAGCTCTAGCAGCCTTCTTTGCTCCCTTTTTCGTTCCCTTTTTGACGCTGGCGTGGTACGGGTTCTCGGCCGCCGCCGCCCTCTCCGCAGCACGTTTGCGCTTGTTGGCAGCTTTGCTCGCTCGATCCTTCTCCCAATGTCCTTGAAGTTCTTCAGCCCACAAATCCTCTGAGCCGAATTTCTTCTTGCCAGCTCGTCCGCCTACGCAGCAACAGTAGCGGATCGCGATCAGAGGTTACGGACTGGCTTGCACGGTACAGTTTAAAGGACGACTCACCCTGGACAGGTTTCGAAGTACCCAGGCCGAACACCTCGTCATCCTCATCGATGATCAAATCTTCATCCAACTCGATCCCGCTAAAGTCGCCCTTTTCAATGGCCTTGAACAGTCTCTTGCGGGCCTTTTTGTCATTCTTCTCCACTCCGTTTGCACTAGCAAACGCTTCGAGCTGCTTGATGAATTCTTCATCCTCGTCTGCCCAGCTGAAATTCTTCCCAAACTCTCCGCCATCTTCATCCTCATCGCTGTCATCTTCGTTGTCGTTCTCGTCGCCGCGCGGCGCTCTACCACCTCGCCGTTGGGTCGGACGAGAAGGCCCAGCGCCTTCGCTCTCGCTGGTATCAAAATCGCTATCTTGATCCTCCTCCTCCCCATCATCATCATCATCATCTATAATCATCTTTTCTTCCAGTCGCATCACTTCCGCCATGGTTTCATCCTCAGCCAAGCCATTCTCCACCTCCTCTTCGCTCTCACTAGCAGTCATCCATTCCTCTTCTTCCTTCATCTGCTGTTCCACCTCCATATCGCCCAGCGTCATCTCTCGGCCGCTCGACTGAGCATCCATGCCCTTCATGAATCGGATCATAGCGTCCAGCTCCGTCTGACGATCCAAATCCGGATCCTCGCCATTGGCATTTTGACCTTGCTTTTCTTCGTCGGATCTCGAGAGTCCTGCATCTACTGCCCACCCGTGGGCCAAATCAGCCAGCATTTCTTCCTCTTTTTGTTTCTTGCGTTGCCGCGCATTCAGGGCTTTGAACGCGGGGGCGGCAGTCGATGCCGAGGCGGCCTGCTCTTTCGGATCAAGGCGGAGCGCACGAGCCAGATCCGCGCCTCGAAGCTCCTCTTCGTGCTCCTCAGTTCCGCTGATGCTCCCGCTGCCGCTACCCCAGTCCATATCGCTCTCCTCGAGGACGTCTGCGCGCGCACGAGGCAAAGGTACAAACGCGCTCTTCTTGCCTGCCATTCGTAGTCGTTGTCTCCTAGCTTTGCGCGTAGCTTGTCGCGTCGATTTGCCGCGCTGAGTATTCAGTGGCAAGAATCCGCGAGAAGTGCGAGGGTAGCCTGGTCGTCCGTAATCTTCTTCGTCCGAGTCGGAAGGAGGCAGCACATCGGGTATGGCATGGCGCGTTTGGACGAACGAAGCGGTGTCACCCAGAATGGGCGCGGACGGATCAACATCCATTTCTGCACGTTCAAAGGAGGCTGCAGGCACATCTGTGCCTTGAGTGTCGATATAGAAGACGTCTTGCGATGACGGCTCAGCCTGAGCCGCAAATGGCTTCGTCGCAGATTGCCCGCGGAACTGCTCCGTAGGTTTCAGCCTCGGTGACTGCGAGAGGTCGATTACGTCCTGAGCTTGATGTTGGGCTTGTGATGATATAGTGTCGTCTGCGGCGACGGCAGCGCGATTAGCAGCCAAGATAGCTTCGAGCTGTCTATCCTCCTCGCTGTCGCTGTTGTCCTGTAGCGATGCAACATGGGCCTGAGAGCTCAAGGAGGCGCTCTGAGGTACGAGGATGACTTCATCTTCCGACGAATCCTCTTGGGCTGTCTGATGCGTTGGCGCCGTAAAAGACTCAAGTGGCTTGACGACAGGAGCGCACTGCTGCATACTATCGACAGCAGAAGGCTGCACGACGTACGCTTCGTGCATACCCACCTGTCGAGCATCCGGGTATGCTTTCATGAGCGCCTGCAGATCCTCATCATCGTCCTCTGCCTCCTCATCAAAGGTCCACGCGCTTGGCTCGAAAGCAGTGGGAGTGTTTTGCTCTGATACCTGGCGCTGCAGAGGCGGCGCTTGTGGGGGCTTGACATTCGGATCTTTTTCGTGTGTGAATCCCAGACCTCTTCCTTGCTTGGCCTGATTGAGCGCCTCGATGCTGGGCTCTTCCACCCCTTCGCCTTCGGAGGAAAGGCCCTGAGCCTTGATGAATGCGATTGGAGCCAAGAGGGGTCTGTTGTACTGCTGCGCAGGATCTCCGAAGCGCGGCTTTTGATTCTTCCCGCTGAACTTGCCACCAACTCCGGCCAAGTAGGCCGCATCACCCACAAGCTCGTCCGGGCGTGTCCAGTGCTTTTCGGGTACTTGAAAATGAGGAAAAGTCGCTTGTTTCCTGCTGGAGGGCGCTGGACCGCGCGTACGAGCTCCGCGCGTACCGATGGACGTGCCGCCTGAAAGACGCATGACGCGAGGCCCGGTAGGCACGCCGAGCGAGACCAGCTCAGCCATGGCGTCTCCATGCAGAGCAGGAGGTGCCGGAACCCGTGATTCTTCGGACTGCTCATATGGCGCGGGGGGAGATTGTTGCCGCTCGTGCTGAGGCCTATGCACGTGCACGTATCCCTTGGGAGGTGTCAAAATCACATCGTCCTCCGACGCAGAGCCAGAGTCGGAAGACTGATCCTGCTGCAGCACCGCTTTCAGTGCGGTTCTAGCGTCAACTTCTGCATCCACAGCAGCGTACGAGGGCGCTGGTGCTTGCCGTGAAGCTCGCTGTGGAAGGCTACTGTAGTCGAAGGAGACGGCGTTCTGGTTGGACATGGTCAGATGACCTCCTCTACCTCTGCCTCTTCCTCCCGTACCGCGCGCATTCCAATCCCCTCTCGCTGGACCACCTCTGCCTCTGTGCGCACCGCCTCGTCCAGAGTCCCAACGTGACGCATCCAATGCGTGTGCCAGAGCAGCGCTTTCGGTAAGGAAACGACCCTGTCCTGGGAACGCGCCGGTATTGCCACCACCTCCTCTTCCCCTTCCGCGACCACTGGAGACGCCACCTCGACCGCCTCTATCGCCTCCTCCCTTGCCATTACCTCTTCCATACCCTCTACCTCGCGGTCCATTCTTGGCCATGCTTGTGCTCTAGGATGCGTATGGTCTTTGGTGTGTGAGGCTGTCTAAAGTGATGGGTGTGTGCTCGTATGACCTGTGTATGCGCCTGAATACCTGCTATCGTACCTCACACTGACAATCTATTGTGTATGTGCACCCACGAGACCGAGTTTGAAAGGAGCGTCTTTACCTGGGCAACGCGAAGTCGCGTGGCGGGGAAAGTGTGTCGTGACGCGTCGGAACTTTGGGATAGCCTAGGTACAAGTCGGGTGTCTCTCTTCAGCTCGACGTCGAATGGAAGATGATGCTGCGTGAGAACGAAGAGTGCTTGCTTTGGACTTGCCGAAGCTGATGGGTGTGAAACGGAGAGATGGCGGTACAGAAGGTGGGATGCGGAGCCAAAGAGAGAACGCGTGTGGGCGGCGTGGAGGGTGGAGGGAGCGCTGCACGATGGCCAGAGCGCGCAGCGTTGCTGATGAAGCCTGCATGCATGCCGCACCGGCGCTCACGTGATGCTTTTGCTCCTGAGTCACGCGTCAAAATCAAACTCGTGACTCGCGACGCAAGACTCATCAGATTCACGACTCACGACTCTTTTCGTGACTCATCTCGCCCACACGTCGTTCACCCTGTAATTCCTGACTCTTGACTCGGCCTTCACTGCAGACAGATCTCTGTCGGCAAGACTCGATCGGGTCATGCCGACTCGCGCTTCGAATGATCGAATTTCCATCCTCGTTGCCATTCACGTGATTCCTACCTCGTCAAAGTGGTGAGCGAGGAATCATCAATCAAATTCCAATCCCAAAATCTTGTCTCTTCAAGCGATCGCTACCAACTCGACTCACACGAACGCAGATGCAGATGCAGACGCGTTCATCGCACGAAAGCAAAGATGAAACGTCTGCAAGTCCTATCGCAGTGCTAAAACAAAAAAAAAAATTGGTCTGCCATCTCACCGGCGACTGATTTTTTTTCTCGCATCCAAAAGTGCCGTTCGAGATTTGGGAGGAAAGGAAGACTTTCAATTTAGCGAAGCGATCCGCCTGTCTGCATTCCGCAAAGATCGGCGCGCTTCGCTGCACTCATTCAGTCACAGTTCAGTCCAAGGGAAGGCACAATTCCGAGCCCTGGTGCTGAAAGCCGTCGAGATGTGACTTCGCGTGACAAGTCGACCATATCCTGATCCTAAAAGTCGCAAATGAAGAGCCTCACGACAAATCACACGAATCCAACTGTATGGCCCACAGAGAATTGTTCGAAGGGTTCGCGCGCTCTAGGGCCATTTCGGATTGCTGCAGTGAAAAGTTGGGTGGTAGCCTTGGCTAGCAGTGACTTGGAACAAGGGCTCCCGATCGAGATCTTGCGGGGGCGTCTCTAGCAATGTGCAATCTCATCTTCCTCCAAAGAATCTCGCTGAATCCGGCAGCCAGTCGCTCACCTCTCCGCTCTGGCTCGACTGCGTGCAATCTTGCGAATCTCGGCATCTCCAGCTTGACTTTCGTCCAACACCCTACGAAACACCCTTGTAGCGTCGTAAAGAACCTTGCTAGCGACCCACGCGCCCGTTTTAGAGATTGCTTGCTGCAAGCCCAGCTGCCTTGCGTCGAGTTGGCTAAAAGATGCAGCCGTCAAGATGTAGCCTGTCACATGGGCGATTTGAGTATCATCTTCGATCCAAGTAGCTCCGTGCTTGCGCGTAAAGTGCTCGTTCACTTCCCCTTTCACCTCTTTGAGGAATTCCACACACCTCAGATGCATCGACACGTAGTCAAACCGAATAGACGCCGTCTCGCGTATCAGCCCTACCTCCAGCACGGAAAGCAGCTGTACAATCGAAAATTTCTGATCGTTGTGCTTGCGACTCCTTCGAAGACCTCGCACTCCTTGCTTCTTTCCGCGCGTTTTCTTGCCCTTTTGAGTACTCTGCATTCCTGCCTCTTCCGCCTCTTCTTCTTTTCGCTTCAAGTCGGAAAGCAATTGCTGAATGTAATTGATGTCAATGTCGGAATGCAGCTGCTTGCGACTGCGATACTTTTCCTGAAAGATTCTGAGCATCTGCGAGTGGTCCTGCAAGGGCTTCAGCGAACAGTCAAACGTGTGCCTCTGCGCTTGCTGTATGCGCGCAAGGTCATTCTGTGACGTTCCTCCGTTCAACCAGCGTTTGAAAGAGTGAACGGCATCTTCGGGCCAATTTTGGGCACTCATGAAGCCACACATCGAGTCGATGACATTCTTCGGGATGGGGCCGCCAAAGATATCTTCCACTCCATGTAGTTCCATCACTAGATCAAGGTCCGCCCAGTCTAGGTTTGCCGGTCGGTCCAGAGACTTTTCTTGATTGCGGCACGCGACGAAAAGGTGCACCGTCATCAAGATGCTCGACCACGCACTCGCTATCGTGAAGCCCATCATTTGGTATTCGAGCTGAAATCTGAACAGCTGCACACCACAAAATAGCGGATTGCGAGGGAGCAAAAGGCTTTCCTTGAACTCTTCCAGCGGAGCACCAAGCCTTTTGGCAAACATGATCTTCGACTGCGCAATCAGATCCGTCCTAGACCAGGCATCGGCGCGTTCGGTGAAGCGTTTGATGAGCACTTCGTTGCCCCTAGGCCAGCCATTCGGCGCGGCCGGTCCTTCCACCTTTCGGCGATTCTTCATGGTTCGAGCCATACCACTGGCGGATGATCGCAAGAGCGCAAGACCCTCTTGGACCTTCTCTCCAAGTACCCAATTGATGTCGGCAAAGACTTGGGTGTAGAAAATCAAGAGCAGACTGACCTTACCAGTACGACGGAGATGACTCATCTCCAAAGACAGCTCGTCGGCGCGATAGTCGTTGCTGGGGTCGTTGGGATCGAGCACCTCTTCATCAACCGTGCCGGAGCGTATGTCCCTAGCGCCAGGGAGCTCAAAGGGGGGTACGAGCCAGTACTCTGGCAGCGACTCTGTCAACAAGACGGTCAACTGCTCATTTCGCTTGGTAAAGCTCCAACTTTCTGGGGTGGTGGTCGGGGTGAGTTTGCCAAAGTGACCGGGTTTGTACAGCGGCACGTGGTTGGCGAGAGATATATCGGCTACGCCCATCATGATGGAGAGGTTGGGCAAGAAGAGGTACTCTAGCGTATCTCGACTGAGTTGTGGACACGCTTCGATGTCAGGGTCGTTGAAGTTTCGAAAGGTCAAGTCGATCTGATCCAACGGGAGGAAAAGCATTTGACGCACGAGGAACAGGGCTGTTCCAGCTGCCATCCAATCGTCGTAGTACAAAGCAATGATCTTCATCACTTCATCATGCGGCTTTCGCAGCAATTCTAAACCGGCATTGCTGGTGACGGAAGCCGTGATCAAGTCGATGCGACCCTCACGGTAGTCGATCCATAGCGTCTTGATGTGCTGCCGCACTTCGTGCAAGTCGTCGTAGAAGCTGAGGAGCAAGAGGAGTGCAAAGTCGCGACTCATCTCGACCTCGAACGATGCTTCCGAGGCGGGATCTTTGGCACCCTCTGCAGGTTTAGAGCCAGGTAAGCGCACATCCGGAAGCTCGGTGCCCTCATCCGCTCCTGAGAATAGGTTGAGCAAAGGGGCATACGGGTTGTTCGAAGGTGAACCACCAGCGAGCGGTGATGCTCGGGTCTCGAGCACTTCCGTGCGACCTGGCTTTTGCTGTGCACCCGATGCCGATGCGCCATTCTTCGACTTTGCTTCGCCCGCAGAGGCACGACCCAGTATGGCGCTGACTTCTTCCAAGACTGAGATGAAATGGTCATGTCCAGCTTTGTCATAGGTCTCATTGCCGGCCGATGCTCGTAGAAATGCAGATCTTCGATTGCTACAGCGCTGAACAAGGGTGCGAACCTCGGATGGAATGGCCACGCCTCTTTGCACGAGGTACCTGGCTATCTGCGTGTATTGGGCAGTCTTGAGGACGAATTTGCCGCGCAATTGCTGTGCGTGCTGTTCGATACCGGCACTGCGGCTGGTCTGCGCGAGCGTGGGTGCAGCTTGATCATCTTCATCTTCGTCGTCGTCGTCGTCGTCGTCGTCTTGTAGAGCCTGTTTGGCCTGCTTGCCCTCGGCCGAAGCTTGTACACGTGCATCGCTGCCCAGCTCGAGCTGCTGGACTGCAGACGTCAAAGTCGAGGTGGAAATGTGGAGACTCTGACTCGAACTCTGACTACTCTTCTTTTTCTTCTTTTTTTTTTTTGCTTCTTCTTCTTCTTCTTATCATTGACATTCTCCGATGACTCTGACTGCGTTGCAGCTACCAGACTGCCCAAATTGAAGCCATGACGCAATGCTTGCCTGCCCAACCAGTTAGCGATCTCTTGCGTGTCTCGCTTGTACTGCTCATACCGACTTCGCACAAAAGCGTGACCTGCCATGGTGCATGGGTGGTGCTTATGCTGCTCTGTGCTACTCGACTCAGACTTGAGGACTTTGAGCGACACACCTTGAAGACGCTTCACGAGTCGCAGGTGAGAGTCACCAGTGTGAGTCAAGCTGTGAATTGCGATGACAGCGTCTTGTCTGCGTCGCTTTGTGTCCATTCACCAGCTCCTGGCACAGCTGAGCTCTTTTGTCGCGGTGACTGAACAGCTGTGACTGGAGTTACGAGTGCTGGCGTGCGTCAGGGGCAGCGCTACAACAATCAGAATACCGGCACCGGTAATTAAATAGGCACACTCGCGTCGGCCTGACTCATGACTACACTGATTGCGAGCTGATGCTTAATTGGATCGTGCATCTGGGCGTGCAGCATGCACGCCACGAGCGGGTCCAAGCCAGATTGTTCGAGACCCTAATTTTGCATTTCGAAACAGCTGATTAAATGTATGCCTTATCGTTGGCTCGCGATTTCAAGAGGGTTTGGCATCTCACACTTGACCGAGTTCCTCACTCAACAACTCGTGACTCTGACTCCTTTCCTCGTACCTCGGCAACTTCCTTCGGTGCTCTCATTCAGTCCAGCTGCCACCCATCCACCGAAAAGCCGGCAAACGGAGCGCGCGGCTGGCTACTCGGTGGCTCTTGCTCTTCAAACCATGTCCTCTGAGGCTGCGCTACAAAAAGCTAGGCAGCTAGTCGATGAAGCTCACTCTGCCGATCCAGAGTCCAAGGAGCTGCGCTACGCAGATGGCGTAGAGAGCTGGGCCTCCAAGCTCCTCTCAGACTACCCCTCCTCCACCTCTCACTTCTCCACCCTTCGTTCAGGTCATGCTCGCAAAGTTGTGCTCTTAGCTGCGCGATGTCAACATCTCGAGCGATTCAAGACTCCTCGATCCAGCTATCCCGATGGCAAAGCTGGTTATCTCAAGTGGAGAAGGGGCTTGTACGATACGCAGGCGAACAGAGCAAAGGAGCTCTTGCTTTCTGCTGCAGTGAGCGAGGAGGATGCGGAGAATGTGGCAATGTGGGTCAGAAAGGAGGATCTGAAACCTGGCAAGGAAGGTGGGGAAGCGGGCACCCAGGTGAGGCTGAACGAATGTCGCTTCCTCGGCTACGTGCATGTAGGCGCACTCGACTGAAAGGACTCGCAACCCTTCATCACAGCTGCTGGAAGATGCGGCGGTATTGGTCTTCTTGGAGGAGCAGCTGGCGGCATTCGCACAAGCGCACCCGGACTACACCAGGGAAAAGGTGATCGACATTCTCAAAAAGTGAGTTTTGCGCGCGCTGTAGCAGTCGAGATTTGGGATCGCTTGGCACATCAGGCACACCAGGAGCAGGGGCGACGCACGTCATCATCGCATATATGCCTGTATGCTCCTTTCTTCTCACCATTGTCGCTCATCCGGCTCAAAGCTTGACTGACCAGCTGCTGCATCATCGCTCCCTCGAAGAACCTGGCGCAAACTATCCCCCGTCGGAAAAGAAGCAGTGTCCGATCTGACCTTTCCTGATGCGCTGGCGGGCATCATTGCTGAAGCTACAGCGGCAGTCGCGCCTGCCAATGCAGATTCGGCCATGCGACAAGGTCAGACAGGTCCATCTGCTCCCCAGTCCGCCGAAGATCTAAAGTGAGCAGTTGCGGTGCGGTGCGGTGCGCAGGGGTGTAGATGGAACGACGGACCCCCTCCCAGGAGCAACGGACTGCATGTCAACGAAAGCATGTTCGTAACGGTTCTATGCAGCAATTGTATTTGTATGTCGCCAAGCTTGTCCATTCTCGATGTTTGCACCTCTCTTCAGATGCCTAGCCAAAAGGGAAAAGTGTATGCGGTCACTCGCAGTGGAATGCAGAGGCACACGAGCAAAGCGCTGCGAAATCGATTGTTGAGCGAAGATACCCACTGATTTTTTCATGCTGACCTTGCGGCTTTCTGTTCTCTTGCGTAGCGTGTCTGCGCTCGACAGTCTTGGGCTGAACGGAGAGCAGGAAGAGATGAACATCGCCTCCTCCAGCGGTGCTTTTGGATCCGAGACTCTCTTGCATGCTGCGGCCAAGCGTGTGTCGTCAGAAAGCATCGACCGAGGAGGTCGGACATTTGGAAACCGCATTTTGAGCGCGGATGATGACATGTGGAAACATAATGCTTGGTGAGTGGGGCATCGCATGGTTTCATTTGAAGGGGTGATTGATCTGTCACGACGCGCCATACTCACTTCACTCTTCCGCCCCCGCTCCCGCTCCCGCTCCCCTACCCGCGCGCGCGCGCGCTCGTCGCGGTGAGGATAGGGACCACGCCAAACCACCGCCAGAGCATCTGCAAATGGTCGAAAATCTGCTGAGCAAACAAAGGGAGAGCAAAGTCACTGCAGAAGAAGCTGGTGAGCAAAGTTACAATTTCGCCACTCGTCATCCACTACTCGTCGGGCCTGACACCCACACCGTATTCCCCCCACCATCCATCGCTTCCAGAACGCTACCACAGCAATGCGGCTAGCTATTGGGACGACTTTTACGCGAGTCACGAGAATCGATTCTTTAGGGACAGACATTGGTTGCACCACGAATTCCCAGAACTGACAGCGGCGACCTTTGCGGATGTGAGTGTATACAGCGCGCAGAACGCGAGAAAGTAGCGCAGTCACAAAGGACCAGCATGGCATGACGCTAGACTGATGAAAATACTTGCGCTCTCTCCTTCTTTTCTTTAATTTGGCTGGGCCAGTACGGACCAGCCAGGGTGCTTGAAGTAGGATGTGGAGCTGGAAACACCGTCTTTCCGCTGCTAGAGATGAACCGCAATCCGCATCTTAGCCTCGTAGCGTGCGACTACTCTGCAGAAGCCGTACGGGTGGTTCAAGTGAGTGCGAGGGGCT